AGAAGAAGCATTCTGGTCTGAGCATCCTTCACAAAGCACTCAGAATCATAAAACTCAAGAAAAACGTTATTATCACGTGTGAATTGTGATACAGATAATATTTTCTTCTTAATATTAGGAACATGTAACATGTTTTGTAAAACTAGGAGTTTCTATCTCGTAGGTAAGAAACCTCGACCAACATGATCGATTTTGACTCCTTCATCATTTCCCATGAGTAATGTATTCACACCAATATAGACAGTACCTGAGTCAAAAATTGATAGATCGTTTGAGACATGGTGCGTGGCACTTGTATCGGGATACCAATTTGTTTCTGGGGGCACTGAGGAACGAGTTGAACTAGCAGCAACAGAGGAGTTGAATATTGTAGAGGACATGTAAGTAAATGGTGGATGCCCAGAAGATACATGGAATTGATAATATCCTGGAGTATGAGACATACCAGTCATTCCTGGTATACCTGGGACAGCCGAGTAAAACATCGGTGAGTGTGAATAAGGAACAAATGACTATGGAATGGTCGAGAAAGACTGAAACGTATGAGCAAACACCTACCCTCCAGATTGTTGTTTGACTAAATTTATTCGAGCAAATTATTTCTGGACATCACCAGTTTGCTCCTCACCTCCAGTTATACTAGTAAAATCTCGATCAAAGCGGTGATAGCATTTTTCCACCACATGACCAAACTTGCCACACAACTGACATTGAGGTATGTTTGAACTCCATCCTCAGCCTCGACCACGATAACCACCACCTTGTTGATCCCGATTTTGGCTTGAACGCAATTGTGATGCATTGTTCTCTTTAGCATCCACTTCAACGTTATTCACCTCCTTAGGTAAACAGTCAAATTAGCCACAACACCCTCATTCAAGAACACTTTCTGTCGAGCCTCACAATCCATTAACATATCGGTCAGAATATCTAAAGAGAGACTCTCATGAGACGTAATAGCAATGATCGACTTAAACTCCATTTAAAGACCAGCAAGAACAACACTTACATGCTCCTGTTCAGTAACAACATTACCAAATGCATTGAGTAAATCACAGATAGATTTAATCTTTGCAAGATACTCATTAATAGTCAACCCAGACTTTCTTTGAGTATACAGACTATGCCTAAGGGCTGAGATCTTGGCAGTAGACTGAGCACCGAACAACCGAGAAATGGTAGACCATATGGAAAAGGTTGTTGTGAGGCCAGTGAGATGAGGAAGAACCTCAGTCCCAATCGTGGTGAGCAACCAAGAGGCTAGCAATTTATCTTGTTGCCTATGAATCAGGAAAGTCGGATTAACCTCAGACTGACCAGACACACTTGCAACATATTCATCTGGTATAACTGCATCACTGGAAAGAAAATTTGTTAACCCATAGCCATCAACTATCAACGCAACTTGATGTTTCCAAAGAAGATAGGTGCTCTCGGTAAGCTTGACAGTGTCATGCTTAGGGATATGTTGAATCCCATTAATTCCTAACGGAACTAACATGGAGCTCACGGGAGAGGTATTTGGTGACATATTTTCAGAGCCTCAAACCGGATCTGCAGTTAAATCAACCATGATGAGCAAGATGAATCAATAAACGGTTTAACAGCGGAAGAAACCACCAGGATTGACGAATGATACCATGTTAAGACTAACAAAGCTACAACACAAGAGTAAAGAACAAGATAAGAGAGAATAGGCTCTCTAAACCTTTTAACAAGAAACCATACATCTGTTGTTACAACTGAGCTTATTTATAGCTTTATGAACACACATATAACCAACTATAACAGAAGCCTAACAGTTTCATAACTGAAGCTTAACAACCTAACACTAACTAACTCATGCTAACTAACTCATAACCGAATGAGAACCTATTACAATGTTTGAGCCCTTAAATTTCTAGTTTCTTTCAGTTTATCCTCATTTTGTAGATTAATTACTATTTTAACAAATGCAAGTCCCATTTCCTTTAATTTAGTCCAAAACATTTATTTATTTAAGATTTTAGTATTATTTATTATTGTTAGACATAAACTAAATTTAAAAATAATTAGTCGCACTTAATCAAAAACAAACGATGATAACTCATATTTTCATGATCTTTTCAAATACCTGACATTTTCAAACTCTAAAAATTATTTTTGACAACTTAGCGACTTGAATGAAATTCTAAGAAAATGGATCCACAATTCTAAGTCCATGTCGACTAGTGAGTGACTAAATGGATAGTCTATCCAAAAATCTAAAGGTCGAAACGAAATTCTTCGACAATCCCTAGGCACTGCGGCGATATGGTTTCCCTCTCAACCTCCTTTGCCATTTGTCCGCCCATCAACAAACCTAAACCTGTCCACTTAATTCCCCACGCTAAACCTCTCCGTTTCCCTCCCTTTTACTTAAATCCCCTCCCTAAACCTCTCCTCTCCAGCCCCATTTGCCTCATGGCTCTTACTCAAACCCAAACCACCCACTCGGATCCACCCCAAAACGCCGACTCCGACGACTTCCTTTCCTCCAATCCACAGCTGAACCAAGAAGAGCACTGTTCTTCCCTCGAAGAAAAGCCCTCGTCGATAGGTTCTCCGGGGAAGTACTTAAGCGGGGTTTCACGATTTGAGAGGGAATGGGATCATTGGACCAAGCTTGGTCAGCCGAAGTATTTTGTTGCTCCCATGGTTGACCACTCGGAGCTTCCATTTCGCATGCTTTGTCGAAAATACGGAGCTGAGGCTGCATATACGCCTATGTTACATTCGCGTATTTTTACAGAGAGTCCAAAGTACCGTTCTGAAGAATTTACCACTTGCAAGGCATTTTTTCCCTTTCATTTGTTAAAAGAATTTCTGGGCTTAACTTTTTTTCCCATTTTCTCTAAATTTATATGAATTAATGATTGCAGGGGGACCGTCCGTTATTTGTCCAATTCTGTGCTAATGATCCTGATACGTGCTTGAAGCTGCAAGGAAAGTCGAATCATATTGTGACTATATTGACATTAATCTGGGGTAAATTATAATCATTTCGAATTAATGTTATTTACTTTGGATGTAGAAGCATAAAGTATCTTTGAAAGATTATGAATTTACCTTACATGTCGACAATGTACATGATTTACTTTTATGTTAAATGCCCTTAGTTGAGTGTTGATACTGATTTACAGATGATCTATCTTTTTCCATTTGTGGAAGTAAAAAACTATTATAAAGATCGAAATTGCTATGTGGTTTTTGTGTAGATGTCCGCAGCGAGTTGCCAGTCGAGGGTATTATGGAGCTTTCTTGATGGATAACCTTCCTCTTGTGAAATCTTTAGTGGAAAAACTGGCTTCGAGTCTTAATGTGCCGGTTTCGTGCAAAATCAGGGTGTTTCCTAAGCTAGAGGATACACTGAAATATGTAAAGATGCTGGAAGATGCTGGTTGCTCTCTTTTAGCTGTTCACGGTCGAACAAGAGACGAGAAAGACGGGAGGAAGTTTCGAGCCGATTGGAATGTCATCAAGGCTGTGAAAAAACGAGGTTAGAATCCCAGTTCTTGCCAATGGGAATATTAGGCATATGGATGATGTTGAAAACTGTCTGGAAGAGACAGGCAGTGATGGTGTGCTTTCAGCTGAGACTCTTCTTGAGAATCCTGCTCTATTTGCCGGATTCCGAACTGCTGCGTGGGTAGCAGGTAACGAGAAAGACTATGTGGATGGGAAACTTGACCAAACAGATCTTGTGGTCGAGTATTTGAAGCTGTGTGAAAAATACCCTGTCCCATGGAGGATGATCCGATCACATGTTTACACAATGCTAAGAGACTGGTTTAGACTTGCGCCACAAGTTAGAGAGGATCTAAATGCACAGTCTAGGCTGACATTTGAATTTCTTTACAGGCTGGTGGATCGGTTACGAGAGTCGGGTGTAAGAGTTCCACTTTATCAAAAGGATAATTCAGCAGCTAGAGAAAATGAAGTAAATATTACTTCTTTTGAATAACTATTATTTTTGTACTAATTCTTTTTATGTTTTGCTATTATTTTAAAATTCATCTGTAATTAAACTTTTTATAATTTTAGTGTTTATATTATGTAACTAAACCTAGCATAAATGATCTATTTACCCTCATCTTATCTATTTATTTTGTATTTTACAGTATCATATTTAGAATAAATGCTTTTAGATAACAATACTAAATAGTTTTTACTTTATAATGAATATTTTTTATTTAAAAACACTTTTAGATAAAAATATTAAATAATAATCATTTTTTTCTATTTTTTAAAACAATAATGAGCTAACTCTTTTTTGTGTTTATTGGTGCCTCTTAATTCAATCTTACGTATACTCCTTATCGTAATCATGATGCCATTTTGATCTTTGTAACATCATAAAAGAAGGCAACGAGGTTAGAAGAGAGCCTAACTCTTTTAGTATTTCACCAATCAATTTGGTGATTAAATTAATTTGATGGTCATCTGAGTTGAACGTTAAAATACTAAGATATGACAGTTGTTTGAGATTCTGAGATTATATTTTATCATATTTCCAATTAGCAGGTTAACGTTCGGCTTAAACTACTGTCAAATTTTTTAATGGAAAATGACGATTTTGGAACATAATGAATAGTCAGATGATCATTTTATAACTTTTAATATTCGACGGACTCAACAAAGCAACGTTCTATAGTCAAAGATCATTTTGTAACTTTTAATTATCGAGATACTCAATAAATAGTGTTCTATAGTCATGGGACCAATCGTGTACTTTACCCTATATAATAATATTAAAAAAAGATACAATATTAATAACGTTAATTTTAAATGAATCAGATTTATGTAATCGAATTTTTATTTCTAATTATTTCTTGTACCATTATACATCTTACTCTTTTAAACAAAATATACAATCATGAAAGCATAGTACATAAAGACTTGATAAAGCATTAATTATTAATTGATTTAAATCTCACATGACATAATTAACTCAAACAACATTTATTCAAACCATGAGCATCCTCAACATTGCCTTTATTGATCCTAATAATCAATCTAGCTAATTTAATTCCTCCATGACGAAGTTATTTTTGACTTTATTTACTAAATGCTCCCCATAAAACGGCTTTCTGCTTCAGCCGAGCTCTCCCACTTTTCTCCACGAACAAGTCCAAGGGCTCCACCAGTGTATTAAAATTTGGCTGTTTAATCACCAAACTTAACCATCTTTTAAACAAAAAAAATAATTAAGCAAATGAATTAACTAATTACCTCATAAAAATACGCCACGCAAACTCGATACTTCGGTGAATTATTGATAACTCTATGCAAAGTTGCTTCATATCGGCCATTGGACCATATCTGCAACACTACCGCTCTTATAAATAATAAGTTTTTTTTAATCTAAGATCTGATTATAAGGTAATATTTGTTCGAAAGACTCTTAACTATTTAACAATGAATGCTCAATCACCTTGTAAATATCATGTTTGAACCGATGACCTTTAGGGATAATAAAAAAATATTTATATTCCTTTAACTATGAAAATCGTTTGGTTAGTACTCGTAAATAATAAGTTTGAATATGTGTACATTTATATATGATTTTTACCTTCAACATGTCGCCGATATTGCACACAAATGTCCCTGGAATGGGAGTAGCTTGTATCCATTCCCCCGATAGGTTTTTAATCTAAGACAACGGAAGAGAAGCTTCGTCTATTGTAATTATAAAATTCGAATCGAATTTATATTATCTTATAGATATATATTAATGCATTGACATTACCTCAAGTGCAGTTATATCATCATCTTGATTAATCAATGTTAATAAACCTGTTTAAACCATAAGACTAATTAGTTAAATAATATTTTATCATATGTAACTACTTAATTAATCAAACAGTTGAAGGAATTATTATTTACCATAGTCTGTGTGAATCCCGCTTTAATATATTGTTTGGTCAAAGAGAAAAGAAAAAGAAAAAATGTATCAAATTAGATTAGCAGCTGGAAAATTGAATAAAAAAAGAAATATTTTAAATTGAAATATTACCATCCAATGTCGTTAAATTGTGGATTTGCAGGTGGTTTTCCGGGATATCCAATAAGACGCACCACCCAAAACGGATCTCCACCTTTTTCACCTTCAAGCTCATCTGCTGATCCACCCAATGCTAAGGCAATACCCCTCATGATTTTTCTTGAAAGATCTGTTACCAAACTATAAATCATCGAATTATCCATTGAATATAAACAAATTTTCTAAGTCAGATATCTAATGAATTAGACTTGCCTGTGCAAAATCTGATATACTCCTCCATTGATGCTTTGAAGTTCGCAGGATCTCGTGGCCTATATATATAATATATTTTTAATAAAAATATTCTTCCAGTTTTTTTTAATAAAAAAATGCATATACCATTGGTTACATCCTTCCAAAATCTCGCCAAGTGATCCGTACATCCCTTTCTTCACTTCTCTATAGTACTGCCATTATTCATAAAGTTAGGTATTAATGTAATGTGATCTATATATATATATATAAATATGATACTCAGTTACTCACATCGATGGCTTCCTGCAAGTCAGGGACCCCTTTAGTTATGTTTGCTTTCATTTTCTGGTATCCTCTGTAACATTCATGAATTTTCTAGTCAATTCTCTTGCTTTTAAAACTGTTATGGATGAGGAAATTAATTAAAGTAATGAACCTGTATCCTGTGGAGGGAGTCAATTTGATTTTAAGTTTTTCATCGTAAGGAAGATCGAAAAATCTGTGAGTCACATCTTTAACCTCGTTCATAAGCGACTGGGGAACCCCATGACCCTTCTGTTATTATTCATCAGCATGCAAAGGTTACATAAAAGAAAACCATAAGAATATAGTGATATTGAAGGATAATAAATTATGTATACCACGTAGAAGAATCCGGTTTCTCTGCATGCCCGATCCAATTGCTTGACAACTTCACGTACACCCGGATCTTGACCCATTTTCAGATCATCTCCCTTGGTCACTAGAGGACCGACATCTGTAATTACCACCACCACATGAGAAAAGAAAATGCATGATGAAAATAAGGAATGGGGTGAATGGAAATACCGATGACTGGGATGGATTTGAAGTCGGTGGTCATATTGGTGTGTTTTTTTTCTTATATTATTAAGTTGCAATGAGTAGCTTAAGTTGATGCTTCAGAAATTAAGTTCCGGCAACCCCTTATATAGTGGGAGGGATGCTAACCGTTCCAAAATAAACTTCGTCGAGCCGCCTCTTCACGTGCTTCATTTTCAAACATGATAATATAAAATAATTAGATGTGGGTAACGACATGCGAGTAGAATTCTCTTACCCCTATTCTAAGCCCCTAATCACTAATATTACGACACGTGCATTAATATTAATTAGTAAACTCACAACAATTTACCATTAACTTTCTTTTCTTCAATTTTCATTTAAGGCTTTTTTTTTATTTTCTTTGTAGAACAAAGTCAATCAGTTTAGTAATTTAAAAAAAATCATTTGATTTATCTTTTTTTTAATTATTTTTTTGTCTATAATTAATTTTTTTTAATTTAAAGTAATTCATTCGGTTAACTTTATTTTTTTTCTTTTTTCATATTGATCTTATATTATTTTTTAAATTTTAAACAAACCATAAAATCTAAACTCCAAAAACATAAATCCTAAACTCTAAATCACAACTCCCACACCCTAAATATCAAACTCTAAATCCCACACCCTAACTCTAAATCACAAACCCTAAAATCCCAAACACTAAATCCCAAAATATAAAACCCTAAATTCTAATTCATAAACCTTATACCTTAAACCTCAATCACAAACCCTTATTTTATTCAAATAAAAATAAAGCATAAAAAAATCTAAATTCAACATGAAAAAAAAAGTTATCCGAATGAATTATTTTAAACTTTAAAAAGATAAATTTAGTTATAGACAAAACAAATAATCTGGTTGATTTTGTTTTACTAAGAAAATAAAAAACATTAATTGAAAAGTAAAAAAAAAAAGTAACAAACTGTAGTTAATTTACTAATTAATATTAGTACGCATGTCGGAATGTTAGTGGTGGGAGATTTATAGGGGCACAGAATAGGGGCAGCCGAATTCTATTTCATGAGATGCACCAATATTTAATATTTTTAATTTTTGTCAAAAAAAAAATAGTTTGTATTTTAATTAATTTATCATTTAACTTGCCCTTAAATTTATTAATTAATTTTACTATCGACTAATTTTGATGAAAAAAATTATTATAGAAATATTTTTATTTGGGTTCATTAACTATTAATTTTATTTTAAAAAATGATTTAGTAATTAATAATATTAACATAATAATAAATGTATTCTCTAATATTTATATATTATTATTATAATTGAATTTTAATTTTTTAAAAAAATTAACTCTTTTAATATTATTATATTGTTTCTACAGTATATATTGTTCGAAATGAAGGCCGTAAGATTTTATGCTGCTCATCTTTTTTTCTGTTTACTCCGTCTACAGTATGCATATTGTTTGAATTAATTTTTCATTTTGATATTGTTGAAAAGTATTTATAAATTAAATGATTGACCACTGTAGTATTTTAATTGATATTAAATAGGGCTTGATTAAACTTTTCTTCATTGACCAGCTAAAGTGTCCTACTTTGTTTTTGTTATTTACACGGATTTATCATTTATCTATTTGATTCTGAATCAAAGCCACCACACCAAATCATTATTGGATGAAGTTGAAGATCAATTTTGACTTTAGTTGGTCGATATCAAGATTTTTTTTCTTAAAAGAAGTTTTAATTTCAAAGACATAAAGATTTATTCGTCCTAAAATAAGTCTTTTTATCGAGTACTACTTAAATTAATTTTAAAATATTTTTCTTCTAGATATACAAATATATCCGTTGAGTTTTAATTTAATTAATATTATTTTTATTTCAACATATAATAAACTATGAGTTCAAATATATTTAAGCATATTATAAGCTTTGATTTTAGAGTTTAAAGGGTTTAAGACTTGTTTAGACCAATATATATATACACGTAAAAAGAACATCAATGACGTATTTTAGGCTTTTAGCGGGGTAACATAACCTCTGATTTAATTCATTCGTGAAATAGGTATAGTGTTGATGTTGCGGAATACATCTATCGGATAGAGTAAAATCGTAACTGATAATATATAGGGTAAAAACCACGGACAACGGTAAAAGAATGGTGTGAAGATATGATTGTTCCAATCAAATCTTCAAGTGGGAGATTATTGAAAATTAGCACATGCACCGAAAGTGCATGTTGAAAAAAAATGAAATGAAGTCAAAAAGCATTAAATGCACCGAAAGGTGCACATCATTTTTGTTGACATTTAGGAATGGTAAAATCTCACATTTAGTCATTGTACTTTAGAGTATTTATAAAATTAGTCCTTAAGCTTCAACTATAAATACCCTAGCTCATTTAGTTTCAAAACCATCCCAAAGCATTCTAGCTTTCTTCCAATACTAGAGAAAATTTAGAGAGTTTCTTGAGAGTTGTTTCTCCTTTTTATCAAGAGAGAATTATCATTGTTTCTCTTTGGTAGATCGAGAGAGTAATTCTATTTTCTCATAGTGAATTCTTCTACCGTTGTCCGTGGTTTTTACCCTATATTATTTAGGGGTTTTCCACGTAAATTTTGTGTCTCTTTTATCTTCATTTTTATTCTCTCAAATTATCAGTTACGATTTTGCTCTATCCGATAGCCGTCTTTCGCAACAATTGGTATCCGAGCCAGATTAGAGTGTGTAATATCTGCTTATTGTCTTTGTGGTTGCCACCAAAAGGTGGATCCTCCAAAATAAGAAACTAATAAGTTATTACCTATTCTTTGAAGGTTCCAGAGAACTATTTACGATAGTGAAATAGTGAGAGCTATGCGTAAAAGAAGCTATGGCAACGAAATTTGATATTGAAAAATTCAATGGGAGAAATTTCTCATTGTGGAAATTGAAGATGAAGGCCATCTTGAAGAAAGACGGTTGTCTAGCAGCTATCAGTGAAAGGCCGGTGGATTTCACAGATGATAACAAATGGATCAAAATTGACGGGAATGCTATGTCAAACTTTCATCTAGCATTAGCAGATGAAGTATTGACAAGCATCGAGGAGAAGAAGACAACTAAGGAGATATGAGATCATCTCACCAAATTGTACGAGGCCACATCGATGCACAATAAAATTTTCCTTAAGAGAAAATTGTACACTCTCCGTATGCCAGAATCTACTTCAGTGACGGAGCACTTAAATACACTGAAAACTTTATTTTCTCAGCTTACATCCTTAAGCTGTAAAATAAGAGAACAAGAACGTGCTGAACTTCTATTTCAAAGTCTACCGGATTCGTATGATCAACTCATCATCAACTTGACAAACAATAATGTCACTAGTCTAGTCTTCGATGACGTTGCAGCTGCTGTTCTACATGAAGAAATTGGCACAAGAACAAGGAAGACAAACAAGTAAATATGCAACAAGCAGAAGCATTGACAACGATGACAACGATAAGAGGGAGATCAACAGAAAATAGCCAAAGCAACAGTCACAAACATGGTAGATCGAAGTCGAGGAGCAAGAAGAATTTAAAGTGTTACAACTGTGGAAAGAATGGTCACTTGAAGAAAGATTGTTGGAGTCTAAATAAAAACTCCAATCCACAATGCAATACCGCAAACACTTCAGATGATGAAGATGCTCTATGCTGTGAAGCGTCAACCACCGTGGAAGGCAGAAAAAGATTTACAGATATATGGCTCATTGATTCAGGAGCAACATATCACATGACCTCAAGAAGAGAATGGTTCCATCATTATGAACATGTCTCAGGAGGATCTGTGTATAGTTGCAATGATCATGCCTTAGAGATCATTGGCGTGAGAACCATCAAATTAAAGATGTATGATGGAACAATTAAAGTTGTTCGAGATGTGCGGCACGTGAAAGGCCTGAAGAAAAATTTATTATCTTACGGATTGTTGGATAATAATGCAAACAAGATTGAAACACGGAAAGTAATCATGAAGGTCTTCTGTGGAGCGCTTGTGGTGCTGAAAGGCGAAAAGATAGCTGCAAACTTGTACATACTGAAGGGAGAGACTTTACTAGAAGCAGAAGCCTCTGTTGCCTCATGTAGTTCAGATTCTGCAATGATATGTCATCAGAAACTTGGACACATGCCAGAACAAAGAATGAAAGTCCTTGTGGAGCAAAAGCTACTTCCAGGCTTAACAAATGTATCACTTCCTTTATGTGAGCATTGCATAACAAGTAAGCAGCACTGGTTGAAATTCAACACATCAAATTCTAGAGGCAAAAGTGTTCTAGAATTGGTTCACTCTGACGTATCGCAAGTACCAATTATATCCCTAGGCGGAGCAAAATACTTTGTCTCATTTATTGATGACTACTCCAGGAGATGTTGGGTGTACCCTATTAAGAAGAAGTCATATGTATTTTCAACTTTCAAAAACTTCAAACCGCGGGTGGAACTTGATTATGTAAATAAGATCAAGTGTTTCAGAACAAATAATGGAGGAGAATACACAAGTGAAGAATTTTATGACTTTTATAGGAAAGAAGGCATCAAAAGACAGTTCACAGTGGCGAACACTCCTCAACAAAATGGAGTGGCAGAGCGGATGAACAAAACATTGTTAAAAAGAACAAGAGCAATGTTGAGGGATGCAAGCCTAGAAAAATCATTATGGGCAGAAGCAGTCAATACCGCCTGTTATTTGGTGAATCGAGCTCCATTAACTGCAATAGAGTTGAAGACACTAATGGAGATGTGGACTGGAAAACCATCTGATTATTCAAACCTCTATGTATTTGGAAGTATAATGTACATGATGTACAACTCCCAAGAAATTTCAAAGCTGGATCCAAAATCCAGGAAATGCAAATTCTTGGGGTATGTTGATGGTATAAAGGGGTATCGCTTGTGGGATCCCACTGCCCACAAAGTGATCATCAGCAGGTATGTTATCTTTGTAGAATATAAGCTACAAAGAAAAGAAGATGATAATAGCACTGAAAAGTCAGAGACTACACAGATACATGTGGAAAAGGAGTTTGAACAAGGAGATTCTTCTGAAATAGAACCATCTCATGATGAACAA